CCCCAACCCCCCTAACCCCCCCTCTCTCCTTTTTTTTTTTTAAATTTTAAGTTTTCAGATGGAGAAAATTTGAAGCTCGTGTGAGTGATGAATCTTGTTTCTTATTGATCTTTTATTGTTCAACCTCAAATTTAATTGCTCTAAAATTTAAGTCTTCATTTAGAATCTTCGAAGCCCATATGAACGATCAAAAGCTTTTCCTTCTTGTGTTTTCAGCCCTCAATTTCAATATGTTGAATTCGAGACAAAATGCTAGCATCTTTAAATTGGATCCTTTTTGGTAGTTTAATGGTTAAATTATATGACCTGAACTGTGAATTAAAAATAAAAATCAAATTTCACTTTGCCTTTTTTTTTTGTTGAGAAAATTTGCTTTGCAATCTCCACTGAGAATATCTTAAAACCATTTGAATGATAATCTTTTGTCTTGTTGAGTTTTCAGTGCTCAACCTCGATTTGTCGATTCTTAAAAAAATTTGGGATAAAGGCTTTTGATGTTGTTGTAACCTCAATTTATTGAATACAATACAAAACATAAGATCAGTAAACTGAGCCAGTGGAGTTATCCAACAACAAAAAAAAAGGAAAAAAAAAGGGCAGTGGTAATTGGTATGACCTAAAATGAGAATTAAAAATTAAAATTTGCTCTATAGTCACCATTGAGAAGCTTTGATGCCCATTTGAGTGGCTAATCTTGTATCTTATTGGCTTTTCCGTGCTGAACCTCTATTTGTGAAATTCAATACAAGACACTAGTATACCAGTCTTTTTTTTAATTTTAGTTGATTTTTTATGACCTGAACTGTGAATTAAATTTTGAAAATTTTCGCTGTAATCTTCGTTGAAAATCTTTGAGGTCTATTTGAATGATTAATCTTCACTTTTCTTGGTTTTTCGGTGCTAATTTTTGTTGGATACAGTGCAACACATTAGGATCTTTAAATTTGAGCCTCTGTGTAGTTTAATTGAACTGTAAATTAAAATTCAACATTTTCTCTGTAGAGAGGAGTGCGATTTTCTTGGCTAAAGCTATGGAGAGTTCTAATCGGAAGAAAATAATTACAAAGCAATTGACGGGAAAGAGGGATGATACTCCTCTTCATTCAGCTGCTCGAGCTGGAAATTTTGTTGCAATGGAAGAAATTATTTCAGAAACTAAGGACGAGGAATTGAAGGATTTGTTGTGTAAGCAGAATCAAGCAGGAGAGATAGCTCTATATGTTGCTAGTGAGTATGGGCATGCTGATATGGTGAAGGAATTGGTTAGGTACCATAACCTTGAAACTGCTGGAATAAAGGCCAAGAATGGTTATGATGCCCTTCATATAGCAGCCAAACAAGGGGATTTAGGTACTATTTTATGTAAATCTATGATTTTTATAGGTTTTATTGTGTAGTATTTGTTTCAAAAAATTGAATTTACTGATGAAATTATATACATTCTTCAGTTTTCAATGTACGGACTTTTGATGATATTATAGTACCATGTTTCCGTTATTCTGTCAACATATCTTCTCTATTTACTGAAGTTTTTCCCCAATGTTGTGCGCGGCGGAAGCTTTCTAGGGCAACACGAACACTAACTTGAACTAAACCACAAATAATATGCAAACCACAATCACAGCAAGAACAAGAATTTACGTGGTTCGGCAAGTTGCTTACGTCCACGGGGCAAGGAGGGGGGAGTTCTTTCTACTAGAAATCAAGAGAATACAAATAGGGTTACAAATCTCTCAGACCAAACCCTAAAACAAAGCTCTAGATCTCTCAAAGCTCTCTCACAATTGGATGCAATTATTCTCTCTCTTTGGCTGCTCAAATTCGTCCAACCTCTACCCTAACCAAACAGGTTTAGGTATATATAGAACTTACAAAACGAATCGGGTCAAAAACCCGAAAGCCCAGCCCAAAACAGCGTCGGTCGATCGGACCGGTCGACCGCGATCAATTCCGGTCGACCGGCCCGGTCGACCGACCAGCTCCCAGTAGAAAACCCAAACTCCAGAGAACCCCTCGGTCGACCGCACCGGTCGACCGATCACCTTCCTGAGCACAGTAAGCTTTGTGCACGAATCCGGTCGACCGCCGCCTGGTTTGCCTGATTCTTCTGAGTTTCTGTAATTTCTTCAATTCTCCACCTCGGCGAATGTTTCCACCAAAAACTGAGCCGACACCAAATCATCCAATAGTTCCTCAACAAGTCCAGGAACAATACTCGAGCTGAAACGCGATCTCCCCCATCTGAATCAACTGATCAAACCGACTGCATCTGAAAGACTGCCTACGTATCCTCTTGTCCAAGGAATCAAGCCGAACGTAGTTCATAATAATGGCCTCCAAAGGCCTCAGCACTGAAGGATGTTCAAAAGCTTCAAACAATGATCAAATTTCACACCTGAAACAACTTTGGTCAACATATCTGCAGGGTTGTCATTTGTGTGGACCTTCTCCAATATGACATCTCCATCATCCAAGACGTCCCGTACAAAGTGGAATCTGACGTCGATGTGCTTCGTGCGCGCATGATAAACCTGGTTCTTCGCCAAATAGATAGCCGACATACTATCACAATATATCCGAATAGTCTCCTGAGCAATCCCCAAGTCCTCCAATAATCCACGCAACCATAAAGCCTCCTTAATAGCTTCAGTAACTGCCATATACTCTGCCTCTGTAGTAGAGAGAGCCACTGTGGACTGAAGCGTGCAACGCCAACATACAGGTGCACCTGCCAATGTAAAAGCATAACCTGACGTAGACCGGCGTTTGTCAAGATCTCCAGCATAGTCTGAATCCACATATCCAATACAAGCCTGCCCATCCTTCTCATCCTTCTGAAATACTAAACCAACATCCACGGTGCCTCGAACATACCGTAGAATCCACTTCACGGCCTCCCAGTGACCCTTCCCGGGGTCGTGCATGTATCTCGATACCATGCTCACGGCCTGTGACAAATCTGGCCTCGTACACACCATCGCATACATCAAGCTACCTACTGCACTGGCATATGGGACCTTCGACATATAATCTATGTCCTCAACTGAAACAGGTGACATCAACGCTGAAAGCTTGAAGTGGGGAGCCAATGGTGTGCTAACTGCTTTTGCATTGCCATCAAAGCTGAATTTCTTCAACATCTTCTGCAAATAACTCCTCTGTATTAGCTTCAATTTCCCCTTCATCCTGTCTCGCTCGATCTCCATACCCAATATCTTCTTTGCCTCTCCAAGATCCTTCATCTCAAACTCGGATGATAACTCCTCTTTCAGCTTTCGAATAGCCGAAGAATTCCTGGAAGCAATAAGCATATCATCAACATATAAGAGCAAATATATGAGCTCACCATCCTGTAGCTTGTGCATATAAACACATGGGTCATATGGGCTCCTCGTGTACCCTCGGCCAATCATAAAGCCGTCGAATCTCTTATACCACTGTCTTGGTGACTGCTTCAAACCATAAAGAGACTTCTTCAGCTTACAAACCAAAACTTCCTTTCCTGCAGCTTTAAAACCCTGTGGTTGTGTCATGTAGATCTTCTCATCTAAATCACCATGTAGAAAGGCTGTCTTCACATCCATCTGGACCAAATCCAAATCCAACTGTGCCACCAACGCCAATAAAATTCGAATCGACGAATGCTTCACAACGGGTGAAAATACCTCGTTGTAATCAATGCCCTCAAGCTGTGCATATCCCTTGGCAACTAATCTGGCTTTGAACCGAATGTCCCCAATAGAAGATCCCTCCTTCTTCGCATATACCCACTTGCAACCAATAGCTTTCTTACCCTTAGGTAGATGTGCAAGTGTCCAAGTGTCGTTCTTCTGAAGAGACCGCATCTCCTCCTCCATAGCTTCCCTCCACCTGATCGAATCGGGGCTAGACTCTGCCTCCCTGAATGTGGCTGGAACCATATCATCAACGACCTCCACTGATAATGCATATGCAACCATGACATCATTATACCTAGCTGGCCGACGAATCTCTCTCCTCGGTCTATCTGCTGTAATGGTCCTCTGAACATGACCCTGTTCCTGAGTCCCATGATCTACTGTATCCTGTATCTGCCCATCTGTCATCTCATCTCCTCCCAGTGTCACCTCTGTAGGAGCCTCAATAGATACAGTGTGGAGTGGGTGGAGTCACATCATCCTCCACCTGCTGCGATATCTCTCCTGTCTGGTCTCCCTCCACCTGCTGAGGGGCTCGAGGCCTCATCATGTACGCCTCGTCAAATGTGACATCTCTGCTAATAACTATCTTCTTGTCCTGTGGATCCCATAACTTGAAGCCTTTGACTCCATCCCTAAATCCCACAAAGACTGCTTTCCTCGCTCTCGGATTTAATTTGCCATCACTGACATGATAATAAGCTGGACACCCGAATATCCGAAGCGACTCATAGTCACTAGCCACCGAACCAAACCAACGCTCCAAAGGAGTCTTCCCGTCTATCGCAGTGCACGGCAACCTGTTCACAAGATGGCTCGCATAAACCAACGCCTCGGCCCAAAAAGATCTAGGCAATCCACTCTGCGTCATCATACACCGCACCTTCTCCAGCAAGGTACGGTTCAATCTCTCAGCCACCCCGTTCTGTTGCGGTGTCTCTCGAACTGTGAAGTGTCTTCTAATGCCGTGATCCCGGCAAAACTGCAGAAACGGATCACTCTTGTACTCTCCACCGTTATCTGAACGTAGAGTCTTCACCTTTCTACCTGTCTGCAGCTCCACTTTCTTTTTCCACTCCACAAAAATATCCAGGACCTGATGTTTATGCTTCATCGGGTATACCCAATTCCTCCTGGAATAATCATCAATGAAAGTGACAAAATAGTTGGCCCCACCAAGAGATGTGTTCTTGGAAGGACCCCAAACGTCCGTGTGAATATAATCCAATGTACCTTGGGTGTTATGAACAGCGGTGCCGAACTTCACTCTAGTCTTCTTCCCAAGTACACAATGCTCACACAATTCCATCTTGCAGGTCTTAGCACCTTTCAATAGCCCCTGTTTAGCCAATGACTGTAGGGACTTATCTCCTGTGTGTCCAAGTCTCATGTGCCATAAGGTGGTAGTGTCCTCCTCTGTAGTGATAGAAGCTGCCAGACCCCCTGTAACTGTCTTGCCCTTCAAGTAGTATAGGTAGTTTTCCCTGACACCTCGCATCACCACCATAGAACCCTTCGTGACCTTCACTGTAGCATCCTCTAAGATCACTCGATATCCTGCTGCCTCCAAAGTCCCAAGAGAAATGATGTTCTTCGTCAACTGCGGCACGAACCTCACTTCCTTCAATTCCCTCACTACACCATCATGCATCCTGATCCGGACTGAACCAATACCACCAATAGGGCATACGTGATCATTACCCATAAGCACGACATCCCCTCTTTCCAGCTCCTCAAAGCTAGAAAACCACTCCCTCTTAGGGCAGATGTGATATGTAGCTCCCGAATCCATCATCCACTCCGTGGAATCCGCATAGCAAACCGACGGTAAAGCAGGGCATGAATAGCCTGAAGAATCTGAATCTGAATGCTCACCAATAGCTTTTGCAACATTCACTTCTGAAGCTTGTGCAGCTTTCCCCTTATTCTTTCCGGCTTTTTCTTTCCACTTTGGGCAGTCAATCTTCCAATGTCCTTCTTCTTTACAATACCGACATTGATTTCTACCAACACTCTTATAGGCACTCCTATTCTTTGACTTTGAGCGGTTAAACTGACGACGGTTTGGATCTCGGCCTCGAACTGCTAACGCATCTCCCGATGCCTTCTCGGAGGGTTCACCATCACTCTTCCTCAACTCATAGTTCACCAAAGCTGAGGTCACCTCCTTGTAGCTAACTGTAGTTCTTCCATTGATCATAGTGAGAACGAACGTACCATAATCATCTTCGGGCAACGAACACAGAAGTAGCATCGCCTTGTCTTCATCCTCAACTATAATATCAACATTGGCCATATCTGAAAGTAGCTTAGTGAAATTGTTGACATGCTCCCTGATGGAAACCCCTCTCTTCATCTTGAACTGGTAAAATCTCTTCTTCAAGTGAAGCCGATTCTCAATGCTCTTCGTAAGATATTTCTCATTGAGTGTTTCCCACATCTTCTTCGCCGACGTCTCGTTCATAACATCATAAATAAGATCCGGCGTCAAGCATGACCTAATAACACCACAAGCTCTACTGTTCATCTTTCTCCAAACCTTATCCTCCAACTCAGCGGGTTTCTCTTTTAACTCAAGAGTCTCCTCCAAATTCTGTGCATCCAAAGCATCCATCACCTGACACCTCCACAATCCAAAATTGATCTTGCCATCGAACTTCGGAACATCAATCTTCGTGTTATTGATGCTCAGACTCTGTATCGCCTTTGTTAGAGACGAACCTGACGTGCTTGCATCTCCCATGTTGTCGATCTAGCTCTGATACCAATTGTTGTGCGCGGCGGAAGCTTTCTAGGGCAACACGAACACTAACTTGAACTAAACCACAAACAATATGCAAATCACAATCACAGCAAGAACAAGAATTTACGTGGTTCGGCAAGTTGCCTACGTCCACGGGGCAAGGAGGGGGGAGTTCTTTCTACTAGAAATCAAGAGAATACAAATAGGGTTACAAATCTCTCAGACCAAACCCTAAAACAAAGCTCTAGATCTCTCAAAGCTCTCTCACAATTGGATGCAATGATTCTCTCTCTTTGGCTGCTCAAATTCGTCCAACCTCTACCCTAAACAAACAGGTTTAGGTATATATAGAACTTACAAAACGAATCGGGTCGAAAACCTGAAAGCCCAGCCCAAAACAGCGTCGGTCGACCGGACCGGTCGACCGCGATCAATTCCGGTCGACCGGCCCGGTCGACCGACCAGCTCCCAGTAGAAAACCCAAACTCCAGAGAACCCCTCGGTCGACCGCACCGGTCGACCGACCACCTTCCTGACGCACAGTAAGCTTTGTGCACGAATCCGGTCGACCGGACCGGTCGACCGCCGCCTGGTTTGCCTGATTCTTCTGAGTTTCTGTAATTTCTTCACCCAATATAGTGTATTTTTCAAATGTTAGTCAAATTTTTTTTGTCTGAAATAGAGCTGTGGGAACAAGCCTCCTGATTGTTCCACTAACAAGAAGGATGTAACTTACCATCCTTGGAAAATAGAAGACAATATTCTTTACAAAATAAAGTGCATCATACATCCCAAAATCCTAAGAAGGAAAAGCATCAACTAAAGATAAACACAAAGAGGGTTCTCAGCCTGCAGGAGCATTTAAATATCATTCCCTTAATCCTCACAGCATTCTTTGGAGTTGTTATTATGTCGTCTGATAAGGATTTAGGTTCACTGATATTGGAAAATCTGGCACCTATAATTCATTTTTGGATGATATATGATACTTTACTGTATGTCTCATCAACAAATGCATCAATCATTTGATAAACATAATGTTTTTGAACTGATTAAGTACCTAAATTGGCCAGATATTGTGAAGGAGCTTCTGAAGTCATTTCCGGAACTTGCCATGACTGCTGCTGATTTGTCAAACACAACCTCATTACACACTGCTGCAGCACAAGGTCATGTCGAGGTAGTAAAACTCCTCTTTGAAGCTGATGCTACTTTAGCAAAGATTGCGAGGAGCAATGGTAAAACTGCACTACATTCTGCTTCAAGGAATGGGCACCTGGAAGTTGTGAAAGCTCTTATACACAAAGAACCTGGACTCTTATCGAGAACTGATAAGAAAGGACAGATTGCACTTCATATGGCAGTCAAAGGGCATAACCTTGAGCTTGTTGACGAGCTTCTCAAACACGAGCCTTCTTTGATCAACTTGGCAGACTCAAAGGGAAACACAGCATTACATATAGCGACTAGGAAGTGTCGTCCTCAGGTGAAGATTTTGTACCGTCTTTTCCCTTTTGAACATTAGGAACCTTCATCCTTGTGAAATTACATTTATGTGAAATGTTTATTTGATCTATACTCATTACTAAATTATAGGGTACACTTCAGAAAACCCCAAGAAATTTGACCCATTCTGAAATAGCGCCCCAAAAGTTTGGAAATGTCATTTAATCCTCCCAACTTTTGCATTTTTCCGAATCTATTTTTAGATAACTCCCAACTTTTGGAGGGTTATCTGAAAAATTTTGGGGATTAAGTAACATTTCCAAAATTTTGGAGGTTATCTCAAAATGGCCCAAACTTCTTAGAGGTTTTGTGAAATTTACCCTAAAATATAGTTCAATCGCTTTCAAATATTTTGACTGGCACCTTTGACGAGTATGTTTAACATGTAGTGCAAGTTAAGTCTCAACCGTTATTAAAATATATCTCTCAGGTAGTTAAGCTAGTTACCTTTAATTCACAAGCTCATCATAGTGCAGTGTCAATGAAGTAGTTGCTTGTCATGGTCTATTTCAGATGGACATAACCTCACAATCTCCCTCGCAAAGGATCATAGTAAACAAAGAAGTATTTTTTTTTGTAGTTAAACTAATTTCTCTTAGTTCTTTTGTCCATGATAATGCATTGTTCATGCAGTACCAGTGGTTACGTAGCATGACCTATGTCTCTCTTCTAGCATACTATCACTTAAAGCTACAATTTTTTCCCCATAAAAGCAGCTATATCATCTTCTCATAAGAGGAACTATGATGCAGATTCTGAAAAAACTACTAGAATTCAATGAGACGAACAAGAATGTCATCAATAAATCAGGGGAGACAGCTCTTGACACAGCTGAACAAACTGGAAACTCCGAAATCATCACTTTACTACACAAACATGGCGCCCAGAGTGGGAAGGGAATCAAGCCACCGAACTCTGCACGAGAATTAAAGCAAAACGTAAGCGACATAAAACATGGAGTCCATTCCCAACTCGAACACACACTTCAAACAAGAAAGCGGGTCCATGGCATCGCAAAAAGGCTACGAAAACTCCATGCTGAGGGCCTAAATAACGCCATCAACTCCACCACAGTGGTAGCGGTCCTCATTGCAACTGTGGCATTTGCTGCTATATTCACTGTCCCTGGCCAGTATGTTGGTCATAATACTCCCGAGTTCGCATCAGGGAGGTTCTCTTTAGGAGAAGCCTATACTGCGCCTAACAAAGCTTTCATGATTTTCCTTATATTTGACTCACTGGCTCTCTTCATATCTCTTGCTGTTGTGGTTGCACAAACTTCAGTGGTTGTAGTAGAGAGCAAAGCAAAGAAGCAGATGATGGCAATCATCAACAAGTTAATGTGGCTCGCTTGTGTTCTTATGTCTGTGGCTTTTCTGGCTCTCTCTTTTATTGTAGTGGGAGATAGTCAGAGGTTGCTGGCAGTTGGAGTTGCAGTTATGGGGACTATGATTCTTGTTGCAACTCTAGGAACTATGTGTTATTGGGTGATCATGCACCGAATGGATGCTAAAAGGCTGAGAAGTATTAAGAGATCGTCGCTAAGTAGGTCTTGGTCATGGTCTGCAACTGGGGTTTCAGATGCGGAGCTGTTGTATACTGAGAACCAGAAACTTTATGCGATCTGATATTAACAATCAAGGCTATCCTAAGAGGTTTTTCTCTCTCTTATGCTATATTGTATCGAAGTTGTAATCATTTACCCCCTCGGGTTAAGCTCTTGTACAGCATGAGCAGGCAAAGTCAGGGAGGGATGATACGAGGTTATAGAAGAGCATTATAATCTCCTAATGTGTAAAATATTTTGCTGGACAAGTTAATATATATGATATAAATGAAAGTCATGAGAGCTCTCTTCTTTAATTTTCTTGTGTGTGAAAAAATAGCCATTTTAGTTCGGCACTGAAGACTTGGATTGCAACATTCTACCTCTGAGTTTGTTTGAATCTAATTCTGACTGCTGTGAACTCACGAGGAGCTGATGGTAATTACATTGAATAATGTGAGCATTTTCATGTTGAGAAGCAGGGGCTGAAGAAAACCATAACGGAGAAGGCAAGAGGAGGCAACAACAGCTATACGACGAGGCTGTAAGTACAGGCATATAATCATTTTTTGTCAATGGCTAAATTATACTGTATTTGAAGCAGTTCCGTATGTACAAAGATCAAACATGAATCATGTTCTTTTCTGGTGTATCATTTTCATCCAATGTTTTTTTTAGTAAATGTTACCATTACAAAGTTAAAACAGGTTATTTAAGGATTATATTTATTTAATCAATAATCAATTTGTCAGTTTGCATTATTGGTTTATTTCATATTTATTTGATGTATATTATAGGAATCTCTTTAAAGGTAACTGGACCTTTCTATCTGTATCTTCTTCTTTTTTTTAATTATTGAAAAGAGTGCGAGAAAACTGCAAACATGCAAACCGTAAACTTCATTCTGTTCTTCAGAAATTTACGTCTGAATATTACTTGAAACCCATGAAGTCCTTATGCTATCTGATAATTGTGAATAAAGGCGCAATGCAATGTTCAACCATGTCCTTATTTACTGCAAGAGTTACAGAACGCTTTCTATATCTGGAAGCTTTAATGTCTGAGATGATATGGATCATGAGTTTAGGATTACACTCAATTTTTTTTTAGAAAGGAATCATATATGCAAAGATGCATCTCTGTCATAAACCCAGTAACATCTAATATATGAACCTGGTGACTGCAGGCATCTCAACCTCTCCCTTCACCCCTTCAAAAGGCAGGGGAGCTAAAGTGGTCAACAGCATCAATGAGGTTGGTTTCCTTTGTTCCTTCGCCTCTAATCCTGTCAAGCCTTTTATTGACATGTTTACTTAGTTTAAGGTTTAGTTGTCTACACCTGAGGGTTATTTTTTTGCCCTTTGCTTTGTGATCCATGGAATCATTTTGCTTTTGAGTGAGTTTTTGCCATCATCGGTGCTGAATGTGACCCACGATCAATCTGATTACTAGCCAGTGGTTGTTCTCATAATTACAAGTTGCCTGTTTTGGTCTGGAGCAAACTTTTGCCAGAATACGGCACACGCGTGGTGGTTTAGGGTGTTAATTATAATGTCAATGCTTTCTATCTAGATCAAGCATTTTTATTTGTTTATTATTGGCACATTATATTTTATTAGTGTGACTAGATCTCTCATAATCTCTTTGATGTAAAAGAAGCATTATGTAAGCGATAACTTTATCTGCTGCCGAGTGATAAAGATAGATGAACATTCCTTCAAATTTACATCTCTGTAGTTCACGATTCAAATCAGAAATTTCCCACCTGTAGATGTAGAATTAGCCCCACTTTACTTAGAGTAGTTGATGTCAACCTCATCAGCATTATTTTATGAATTATTTTCGTTATGTTACAGAGATGGCTAAGTGTTAATCCTCCCCTAGTAGCCGATACGTGTCCGTTATTAACTAAACACCAGATCGACCTCGCCCTATGTAGGACGACTCGAGTGATGTCAACACTCAGCCCTTCCAGAGAGGCTGGGTCGAAAGGCGTCCTTACTTGGAACTTGCCATTGGGTTCGACCTCACTCCTCTTCATTCTACAAGACCGGGTCAAGAACTTCCAATTTTAAGATGGCCGAATAAAACAATGTCATTTATCGGCTCTCCCGCAAGCCCGAGACGAGAGGCGGTTTGTCCTCAATATCCCCTCCGATAGTCGACCACCGTCACATTGAATGCATGGTCGGAATCATTATTACTCCAGCCCCAAAATCTTTATGACTCATCGGACCCCGTCAGCATCATGTTTCCCTTGTCACCATCACATTAATCGCATAGGTGACTCATCTCATCATCTGCAGCTGACACCTATAAAGTATCTTCCGACTAAGCTGCCTACCTGGACTCGGCCAAAGATACACAATCCCCACCGCGGATCTGCTATAATAGAGGTACTGTCCACTGCATAAGGGTAAACAATCTCTTGTAAATAAACACACCACCATCTTACTTTTTTTCTGCACTCAAGCTCACTGTTGACTTGACCGTCGAAGGAACTCTGATCCTCTCACATGTTTTTTGCGTGGAGGACTGAATCCTCTACTCCATAACCAACCGTCATAGAAGATTGAGGAACCCTAACACACTAAATTTCCTTGTTTGAAAACAGATACCAACAATTTTTTACCATGTAAAATTGATATATTTATCCATATCTGCTGGTCCAAACATGATTCGGATGATACAGACTTTGAAAATTTAATACATGAAGACAGCTAGTTAAAAGTCATTTGGTCACTGAAAGCACCAAAATTTTCAAAATCCCTAGAGCGCAAATCAACCCTAAATGACCTTATATTTCTCTCCTCGCTTAACAAATTACTCTCGCCATAAATAACCAACAACTTCGTCAACAAAACTGCAGAAATCAAAACAGCCGCAATCAAGTAAAATTTACACCAATTAAGTCGACTTCATCGGAGCTGAAGAATCACTCCCTACCGAAACAAAACCATGACCGAAACTTTGCGATCCAGAACAAAAAGAGATCCGAGCGGTTCTAGATTCTGGCACCAAACAGAAACTCGACATCACTCACACTCTTCCTCCCACAAACCCTCTGCTGAGATTTCTTGCAGTAAGCGATCGCCGCTTGGACGGAACCCTCTTTGTCCGAGCTCACGCTGCTGCTCCTCCTCAAAACTACTCTCGAGAACGAGGAGGAGGAGGAGTCGGAGGAGGAGCTCGACGAAGACGGAGACGAGGAAGAGGTAGTAGAGGGTTTGTTATTAGACGACCTCCTGTGGCCGGAGCTAGCGAAGAGGGACTTCAGATAATCTTTCGACGCCTTGAGCTTCTTGATCAACGTGAGCTTCTTAGACCACGACCTCTTCTTGTGGGCTTCTTCGAACCCCTTCGGGCACTCGAAGTAGTCTTCTGGGTTGCAGAGATCGCCGCTGACGCGGCAGGAGGCGGCGGGCG